ATAATTTATATATATATATATAAATTATAATAGAAAAAACATATATTACATCTTCGTTTCCAACAAGGCTGCGAACAACCACTATAAGAGTTTGGAAGTTATTGGAAGAGAAAAGATTAAGTTCCTAGAGCAAGATAACGATTGACAGATGACTTAAAAGATTGCAAATTATATGAATCAGGGAAGCAAGATGAAGGAAGCAAATTCCAAAGAACTGATGTTCGAAGAAAAAAACTAGCTTTAGAGCAGTGCCAATTATAGTATTTATAGAAAAGAGAAAAAGAAGCAACATCACGACGATGTGACAATGGTTGGAGATTGGCTGCACAAGCAGGTCCAACTATGTTTACAATGCGTTTTTGCACCTTGTCTAAAAGAGAAAGGGCATCAATAGAAGACCTGCCCCAGATTTGGCAACAGTATTCCATACAGGGACAGATTTGAGATTTATAGAGATAGAGAATAGAATCTAGAGTAAGGAAGTGTCGAGCTCGATAAAGAGATAAAGAGAGCAACCTTAGCAGATGCTAATTTTGGAATGGATTTAATATACGGTTTAAAAGAAAGATCAGAAGTAAAAGTTAATCAAAGAAGATGAAGGGTATATGACTCATCTAGTACATTACCATTCATAAATATAGGAAGATCAAAATTATTGCGATAACGATTGGCCGAAAAAAATTGAGTTTTATCTGAAATAAAGTTCACCAGCCATTGTGAGCCACATGCTGTAGCAGAGGTGAGATTTTTATCAAGATAAATAGTAGTGTTGTCAGCGAACAATGCCACCTTAAATGTGATAATATCTGGAAGATCGTTAATGTAAATTAAAATGAGTATAGGGCCAAGGATTGAACCTTGAAGAACCACTGAAGTTACAGGATATGAAGAAGATATATATATATATATATATATATATATATATATATATATATATATATATATATATATATATATATATATATATATATATATATATATATATATATATATATATATATATAACTAACTTAAAATTTTACTAACTACATCTTTTGAAAGGAAATTCTTAAATGTTCTTTTTTTCTTGCTGAATTGACTAGGTACCTATTTTGAGTATTGAGAAGTATTAAAAAAATTAAAATATAAAGATAAAAGGCCTAGATAGTTAAAATAACTTCCAAGATAGTTATTACAAGAAAAAATATTACTTACATTATTCTTTGTAAAACTTTAAGATTTATCATTGACTTCATATATTTTCTTTAACTTTGTTTTGGGAAAAGCGAAACTTTGAATCACAGACTTTCAAATTTTGGAGGAGCTGAATGAATTAAAGACGTTGTTACTTATAAAAATTCATTAGGCATATTACATAAAATAAATTATATTACATTAACCATTACATAAAATGAACTATAGCCAAAACCGTTGTTCTATTTTTTTAAAACCGAAGGCAAAAATAAAAATGAACTTAAGAGTTAAATACATTTAATCAAATAAAATTTCTTTAATTTAAAACAAAATTAGATACAAAAACTACAAACACATCAATTCTAGATTCCTAAATGCATATTTAAATAAATGCAATATGAGTTTTTGAAATACAAAACAAAAATGTAACATAATATTACCAAATACAAACATGTATTTGACCAAAACATATATATCAACTGACACTTGATGTAGTTGACGCACCTAAAAAAAAAATCTTAATTAACAAGTAAATAAAATTTATGGATAAAGTAAAAAATATTCTTACAAGTGTTTTTTTTTTAGCATTAGCATTTTTTTTAATTTTACTGTTCAACTTTAAATTGTATCTAATTGATGTTTCACACTATCTATTTCTAAATTTTAACTAATACTACAAATTCTACTAATTTTAACTAATAATAACTAATAGTTCTAAATTTTAACTAATTCTAATAATTTTAAATTTTAGCAAAACTCATTTTTATTTTATTTGACATATATTTTGTATTTTTACTATTAAAACTTACGCTATAAGTAAGGATTTTAAGGAGACATTTTTCTATTATTTAAAAAGATTTGGCCACGAAAGTCAATTTTTTGAAAGAAAAAATAGCAGAATTAAGGAGAAAATAACTACATTGAAAACAGAATCTTATTTTTTTCAATAAATTTTAAATAAAAACAGAAAAATTATTATAAATTACCATATTACTTACATATATATATATATATATATATATATATATATATATATATATATATATATATATATATATATATATATATATATATAATATATATATATATATAATATATTTATATATATATAATATATATATATAATATATATATGTTTCTCATCGGTTACTTAGTAAATTGCCAATAGCATTCCAACACGTGATATAGTGGTTATTCATATGTTAATACAGTTATATAAGAGACAGGTGGGTAGAAAATTTCCTTTAGAGTAAAGGAAATTTTCTACCTTCCTGTCTCTTATATAACTGTTATGACTGGTTTAATTTTTTCAATTAGACTTATTTTTTAGTCAAAACTTTTGAACTTCACTAATAACTAATTACTAAAGTTAAGTAATTGGTTATTAGCGAAGTTCCGAAACCTGATATTGTAATATTTCAAAAAGTTCATTGTCCAATGTACTGGTCCAATTATTTCGAATAAAACAATCTAAAAGTTGTTAATTAAAGATATTGAATTATCAGCATAAACTCTCTGTATTATTAGTAGGTTTTCCTTTTGAAAAATATGACTATGCATGAGATTCTGCGATGTTTAAGTCTTTCAAACAGTCAGAACTTGGTTCTTGATATAATATACCAATTGTTATACTTGAAATACTATATCAAGTGTCAAGTATATACTTAATATATATATATATATATATATATATATATATATATATATATATATATATATATATATATATATATATATATATATATATATATATATATATATAGTATATCATATACCCAGTTTTTAACTATTTATTTCAATATCTGTATCAATTTCAATATATGTATCAATATTAATACGATTCTCAAGTAATTAAATGTTTAAAAATATATATATAAAAATTAGCAAGAACCTGTCTATAAGTCACTTTTCATAAGGTGCTTTTAAAATTTTCCTTGAATCTTTGGGAAGTTCCAAACCTTGATTTGGCAATATTTCAAGAAGATCATTAACTAATGTACTGGCTCCATTATAAAATAGCATAATGTTGTCGAGTAAAGACATTGAATTCAAAGAATTATCAGGATAATTGTTCCATGTATCATTAACAGGTTTTCCTATTGAAAAATTCGATTCTGCATGAGATGTCTAAATCTTTGAAATTGTTAGAACTTGGTTATTGATATAGCAATACTATACTATTAGTATAGTATTGCTATATCAATAACCAAGTTCTAACAATTTCAAAGATTTAGTATTACTAATAGTATATCAAGTTTATATATACATAGTATAGCATATATTCAGTTTTAAACCGTTTCTTCTATTATCTGTAAAAATTTCATTACCTGTATCAATATTACCATAATTTTCAATTGATAACAAAAACAAAAATTAGATGGAACGTGTCTATTAGTTGTTGTAAAAAGAATTCTTTTGTAATTGAAAGAAAACTTTATTAAAAACGCGTTACTAAAAATTTTGAGAAGTCTTAGCGCTTGCGTGATTTAACTGATTTTTTTTTATTTAATAAAGCATTCTGGATATTTTTTGGACGAAAAAATTATTGGACGCGAAAAAGACGTTCAAAAGACCTTTAGAATTTTAATGGGACGGACGGACGCGATTTGAACGTCCTAAGGACGTCTTTTTTACGTCCTGTGCCCACTGGGGTAGCTCCACTTGTTAACACGATTTGGATAATGATTCAAATGTTCTAGATCAATGGGCGATTTTCTTTATCCATATTCTGAAATGTCTTGCATATATCTTGAAAATCAATTGGCATAAAAGTTTTAAAGATAGTCGGCATGAGATAAAACTCACTTTCTATTTGGTTCCCATTGAAATCTTCATGGAAATCAAATTCTAAATCCTTAAGCTCCTTTGATAGAGCCGTCTTATTAATAGTTTTCAAAAACAGTTTTTCAACATTCATAAACTTCTTAAATGCTGGTTGCTTGAATTGATCTTCTATTGCATTAATAGTTATGTCAAGCTTCAAAAAAAATATCTTAAAATAATCATCGGGTGTTTCTGGGTTACTTACTAAAGTGTCTAAGAATGTTGTTAGGTACTGACCAAAGTTCTATAACTGAAACATTTTTAAACTAAAATTTAAAACTGTTTCAGTTATAGAATGTTTAAAAATGTATAAAATATCATTTCTAATAGGAATTCATTTTGAATTCCAAACTATAGGTAATTCATTTTTTGCCGACTAGGATTTAGTGTTTAACGAGGAGGATGGAGGAATGGGGGAGGGGGGGGGTGTGGAAGTAAGGCTTTTGAATAAAAAATATACTCGTTGCTTATAACTATATAAAAAGTAAAAATATATAAAAAAATTAAGTGTTGATAAAAAAATAACAAAGGTGGTAATAAAAATAAGTAGAAGAAAAGAAACAGAAAAAGTTTACAGGATTTCAAGTTGATATGTGACGTAATATTAAGTCTATAAAAAGTTTGTTCATATCGCGTAAAGTAAACATTTGCAATATACTTAAATCCTGTTCAAACAAAAGTATATTCAAAATAAAGTTTTAGCAATGAGTCAAAAATATACTTCACAGTAACTGATTTCATAGAATAAAACTGTTTTAAAGCAAGGTTTTTTTAATGCATGCACAAAATTATGAATAGAAGATTATATATATAAATAACAACGTGTGTGTATATATATATATATATATATATATATATATATATATATATATATATATATATATATATATATATATATATATATATATATATATATATATATATATATCAATTTAAACAGTCAAATTAAACAACGTTAATTTTTTTTATTTTTCAGTATTTTTTGTTTAGTGTAGATTTTATTAGTATAATATAAATATAAAAGAAAACCTCTTCATAACAAATTTATAATATAAAAGTTTATGAATGCAAACAAATAAGCTTTTACGCAACAATAATGCTGGTTTTCAAATTACTAATGCTGTTAGTTGTTTCAAAAAAATGTAAGTTTTTTTGTATTTGTCTATTTTACTTAAGAACTTTTAAATCAACGCTAAATTATATTTTAAAAATCTCATAATAATATATTGGTAAAACATGTTGTTAGGGTATTGAACAAATTTTGTTAAAAATTTAGGTTTGTTCAAACAAATTGAAACTGATGGATAAACTTCATTATTTTCAGAAAAAAATTAACTTCAATTTTTTAAATACTTTTAAATTATACAATATATGAAAAAATTGGGAAATTTAAAAAAAAGAAGCAAATATTTTCTATAGAATAATTTTTGTTTATATAAAATTAAAAGTTAAATTTAAAAAGTCTTTTTTATACTATATGTAGAGAATATAAATTATTGTCATTAGATAAATATAATAAAAATAATAGAAATTCTACTCTAATGTCCAAAAATTTTTTTGCTAGAGTATAGAAAGACAAAAAAGATATATATATATTTTTAATCACTTTTATAATTCAGAAAATGGTGAATGTGTGGATTTTTATGGTGAATAAACGGGCACGACACTGTAGTAATGAACGGTATACCAAAGTAACAAAATTTTTTTCCAACATAATATTTCTATACAATGAACGTAGTACATAAAAAAAAAATTAGCTTCATACAAAAAAAATTTTGTAACACATATTTAAAATAAATCTTATTCTTACACAAGCTGTTTCATTTTGTCTACTTTTAGAACCAGTGAGTCTAAGGTTGTTTATTCTGCTCTGGTTAAGTCGTCTGTTATCAAACGTATCCACAATTTGTACACCGTACACTTGCTTATAATGCTAACATGACTAGTAAAGCATATCTGAATTTCAGATAAAACTGTGTTAATGGTAACAAGTTGATTAAATCTTGGCTATTTTTGTATTCTTGTATTAACCCACCATAACATTTTGCCAGTAAGGTTTGCGTAATCTTTGGTAAGACTTGGGTGATCATACAATCTTAGATCGTCCTTTGATGTACTGTTTACTCATTTCATCAATTAATTTTCATTGATTTATCTTTCGAAAAAAAAAAGATTATTTTTTTAAAAATGAGTTTCACTATTTATTGGTTGAAACTACACCATATATCTATTTTACAATATTTTTTTTAGTTAAGATGTGACGGAAGTAGGCAAAGACAAAAGTCTTATCATGTAGCCCCATTGTATCATTTACATATTAAATAAATAATAAGCTGTCATATAAAAAAATATTTATTACAATCTCAGTAAAATAATATTAAAGACTTTTAAATAAAAAGTGTTACATTTTTTTTTTCTTTTTCTGAATTTGATACATCTTAAAATAAAAAATAAAAAAAAGTTTAAAGATAAGTAATGATGTAAAGAGTGATATCGCTTTTTAACAAAAAAAATTTAAAATGAAATAAAAATTAAAAATTAAATAGAAGTTGAGATACGTCATAATCAAGTAACTGTTTGTTAAAGATACTTTTAAAAGTTTGAATTGAAATTGGCGTTTTACTATTATTTGCCATAAATCTATAATTATAGTTTTACTAAAAATGTATTGAAATCACTCTAAACAATTCAACAATAATTTTTTCACTTTACTAGTACAGCTTGCTATATTTTACCAAAAGATTTTTTTACCGAAACCATACCGCCACAGTACCAAAAAAGATATTTTTACCAAAACCATACCCTAAAAACAAACTCTATGGTATTTAACTATATATTAGCGGATGGTGAATAAAATGGATGCTGAGTAAATCTGGGTAGTTCATAATATTTAAAAGTATAATACTATTTTATTACAGTACGCGTCTCCGTAGCTTTATTTTGGAATAGTACTGCCTTGCTATTATTAATTAGTTTTTATTTTAAAGCCGGAGGTTTTAAACTTGATTTATCCAAGGAGTTATAATAGACTAGCTGGAGGGAGAACGAATCCGAAAATCGTTCAAATATTAGTTTTAGTAGTATAATTATTTGAGCGGCAAGTCGAATTAGCGCCTAATTTCAACCATATCTTTTGCTTCACCGTTTAGCTATAGATTCGTTACATTCAATTCTAATCTAGAAATTTATTATTAGTCGTTCATAAAGCACAACATAAATAAATTACAACAAATTAACTCTTAACATTAGGTATATGCGTATATGACTTTTACGATATCAATTTCAAAATAAAAATCTGCGACACTTTTTTCAAAGCGTGTTTGGCGTGTGTGTTGTAAAGTTGAATTTGTTGTGTTTTTATTTATAAATTTATCTATATAACAGACTTAAAAAAATACAAAGATTCCTCGAAATAAGAAGAGATAAATCTTACTTATAAACAAGTAAGAGAGTTTTCCTATGACTATAGTTTAAATCTTGGTGTTAAAATTGACAAATCAAACCAATTTGTTGGAGTAGGACTTATGAGACGGCATCCATCACTTAGTTTAGACAAACCTGAAAAAACCAGTCTTTCACGAGCAACAAGCTTCAGTCAGGTCAATGTATCCGAGTTTTTTTGTTAATTATGAAATTGCAAAAACATAAAGTTCCAAAGTTAATTTCAAAAACATAAAATTCCACTCAACCATATTTTCAATTAGGATGAGAAAGGAGTATTAACTGTTATGTAAAGTCCTAGTTTAGGAATCGAGTGTAGGGGAGAATTACAATCTTTGAATTATAAAATAACATCCATCGGTGTTCCGCAAATATTCTCAATTTTGTGAGTTTTTAAAATTTTAAATGCAAAAAACAAGCGGAGAATTTTAAAAACATTAAACAGGTATTTTCGCTTAAGATTTTGAAAGTTTTATATTTGGATTATTTTTAAATTTTTTTTTTAAAAGAATCTAAATACATACCAAAAACTTGATTCAAATACAATGGCTGAAGGGTTGCAGCCCACCATTAACATCACAATAAAATAACAATCTTATATAAGGGCTCTTTAAATTTTCAAAAAAAAAAAATTTAAAGAAATTTTTTGTTATTATTTTCGAATCTCTACAATATTATTTTCAAATCTCTACAATATCGCTAATTTTCATAATAATGTTATGACAATTAGCGATATTGTAGAGATACATTTTATTATATAATATTATATAATAAAACGTTGTCTTTCAAAAAAACATTATAAATAAAATTTTAAAAAACAACGATTGTCTTTTTAAATTTTATAAAAAACTTCTTTTGATTATCGAAAAGAAGTTTTTATAAAATTTTTCAAAAAATACATTTGAATAACATTAAAAAGAAAAGTTCTTTAAAATATACAGTGGTGGCCAAAAGTCCTGGAACATCATATTTTATCTTATGACATCAATATATTTGTGTGAAAAACAATTTATAAGTAAATTTTTTTATTTTTTTTCAATAAAATAAGTGTTTATAACAATTTTAAAGATAATAGGTACATGCACATACATGATAAAAGTTCAGTATTTAATGGAAGCATAGTTATTGCCAATTACCATTTGGGTACGTTTTGGCATGCTGTTAACAAGTTTTGTACAATAGTCTGGTGTAATTTCATGGATCTATACTGATTTGGTTGCTTCAACTAAATCATTATAGGATCTAGGCTTTTTGGCAGCAACTTTTACTTTCATAATATGTTAACAATTTTCAATAACATTAAGATCTGGTGATGACCCAGGCCAATTTTCAAGGGTTTGAATTCCTTCATCAGCAAAGCACTTCTTTACAATTTTGGCTGTGTGACATGGTGCACCATCCTGTTGGAAATAAGTGCAATTCAAGATCTGCATGAAAGGTGGCAACTTCTCCTTCATAACATCCAAATAGACTTTGCTGTTTATTGTGGTATTCTTGGGCATTATCCATAATGACCCACGTCCTTTGGCAGAAATAGCACCCCAAACCATACTAGACACAGGAGCCTTGACACTGCTAACTGTATTTTGACATATATCTACAGTTTTTTGGTCTTCTTACAAAGTTGTTTGTAACATTAAATTATTTAATACATGTTTCATCAAAAAAAAGAACTTTAGACCAATTTTCTCCAGTCCAATTTTTGTAGCACTGACAAAATGTTTTTCGATCTTTTAGGTTTTTTAATGATAAAAAAGATTTTTTTGCTGGCTTGCATGCCTTCATTTTGAAATCAACCAAAAGCCTTCTTCTAACTGTTCGGTCACTTACTTTTTTCTCAATAAAAATTTCTTTTGAAATCTCGTGTGCAGATAGCCGTGGATTTGCATGGCTGATTAAAGTTCTACTTACAGTTGATAATGAACAACCAAGCTTTTCAGATATTTCTCTTTGAACTAAACCTTGTTCATATAATGCAGCAATAATTCCTCTTTTTTTAGGTGAATATTCTGGCATAATATATTGCGCAATATACAAATATGTAACTATAAACATATTGCTATGTAAAAACAAAGGCATCAAACCTTCAAAATTTATACTTTAGATCAAAAATAAATTTTTTTGGTCGTTAAATGTTTTGATCCAAGACCTTTGGCCACCACTGTACTTAAATTTTCTTAAATAAAAAGAGTGAGATCTTCTAAACTTTTTAGTAAACTATATAAAGTTAATTTATAACTAAGTTATACACATAGAGTATTAGAAAAAAAGCGTAAAAACCAAGATAGTTTTACAATAAATTGTTTCTTGACATGTCCCTCGTTTCTAATGTTTATTAGTTACAAACACAAACATTGGAAAGTAAGACGAGTTAAAATTTTTTCTTTTTTAGGCAAAAAAATCACAAAACAAAACAAAAAAAAACAACACGAACGCTGTTAAAAAAATGTTTTACTTAAACTTTTATTGTTAAAATATATATTAAGAGGAGCTATTTTGATCAGATTCGTAGTGGAAAGTACCTTTAGCAACGTAGCTTATATATATGTATATATATATATATATATATATATATATATATATATATATATATATATATATATATATATATATATATATATATATATATATATATATATATATATATATATATATATATATATATATATATATATATATATATATATATATATATATATAT